AACCTAACCAATATTAAGATTAACTTAACAAAATTAGTTCTAGCAACAAATATAACTAAAACAATATCTAGTATAATATTTAACAACATACCAATTACCAGTATCTTAACAAAAAAAGCATTTAGATTTCTTGAATATTGGTTCATAATAGGAAAAAGACAAACTTCTATACATCAAATTATAACAGAAAAAGTGACTAATGCAATCAAAAAACTTAAATATGCAAAAATCACAGAAAAACAAGCCATCTACATAATCAATTCAGTAATATTTACTAGAATTGCCTACTGCATACAAAACTCCAAACTATCTGATACCATTTGCAATAAAATTATGAATAGCTATACAACTATAGCAAAATATAAAGCAGGCATAGCTACATCTATCCCAAACTCTACAATGTTCTATCACAAAATATACATTCTTTGAAAAGTTAATAAAATACAAGACCAACAACACATTGCCCAAATAATATACCAACTTAATTATCATAACTTCTACAACTCTATACTTAAAATTCAACTACAGCAAATTCAAAATGTAGTTGCAACCAATACATCTATATTGAGTGACCATTTATATACCTTAAGCCAGAAAGAACGCTTCTCAACTACAGCCAGAATATTACAAAGTTTATACTAAGCAAAAGTTTCAATAAAGCATGCAGACATTTGGCCCAAACCCTTAGCTTTTAAAGGCACAACTTTAAATCATGCTCTACACTAACTCAAATCGGCCTACAAAATCAAAACAAAACTTAATAAATTGGAAATCTATGTAATAGAACAATGCACAAACTATACACAGTTACAAACACTCAACTGGATGCACATTGCACAAACCATAACAAAAATCCAGAAAGGCAGAAAACCCAAATGGTTTGAACACATAACTTAGAAAACTAATGAAATCATTAGAGATAAGAGCCACATATTGCTTACACCAAACCTCTATATACTTAAAGCCAAACAGGTTAACAAGAAAAACTGGATCTACAATACTAATATACATCATCTTAGCATAAACTATATAGCAATAAGGCATGATATCTTCACTATAAACTGGCACAATGCATGCATTGAGCATGTACTCGGAAGATTTATCCAACATATTAACAATGCATATCACATTACTACATGGCATACCCAAAATCAAATGAACACTTGGAATACAATACATGAAGAAATTGACTAGAAAACCTTTTATAATTTCATAAACTTTAATAACAAACCTACTTCCAGATATACTCATCCCTCTTATTCAAATCTGAAGGCCTTCAAAATCAAATTTTTCCTTAATGAACTACTCATTCAAACTGTATTTCACAAATACAACTCCAAGAAATACAATACCCAAACTGCCAAAGATGCAAAACCAACCCTGAAACCAATGAACACTGAACACAATGTCATACTAATAACACCAACATCAACTCTATTATCAAGAACACAATCATAAAAATTCTTATCAAACATCAACTAAATACATTACAAAATTTGGAAACCCTTATCTTACTATTAATACTATCTAACATTAACAACAACCAGGAGAACACAATTACAAAAGGCATCATTACTTTACATCAAAGCAGAATAATTAACAAGTTAATAAACAAAAAAACAAAGTATACAGCTACCGAAATAATACTGCATAAAATCAGCAAAGCAATACACACTCAAATCTGAATTACATGATGCCAAGCAACACCTAGAAACCAAAATACATCAAACCAACAATCCTTAAACATCACTACATCCAATAAACCAATCCAATCTAATACAACAACTTTAAATAACACTAATTTCCATATCCATATACCTATTAATCACAAAAACCCACAAGTTGAAAAAAGAATTAACATTTAATAAAGAACTTCAAAAACTACAATGCATTACCTAACTCTATCACAACAATTCAAGACTAAGTGAGACCTTTGGCTTCTCTTAGCAAAGTTTGAGTCAGAAGTAAATTAGTCCTAGCTTTAGTTTTTCATAGATAAGAATATATACTATGTTATATCATATAATGTACCTATATATAAAAATTAAATAAAGAAAACTAAGACAAGACCTTGCTTTAAAAAAAAAAAAAAAAGATTTATTGAAAAAGGGTTTCCTTAAAAAAGAGAGATTTTTCAATTAAGAAGAGTATTAAGTATGATATTTAAAATTTGTCTTGTAATAGTTTGTTTGCTTTTGAATAAACTGTTTCTCAGTAATGAGTATTGATTTGTGAATATGTTAGTAATTTGTCAAGAGAGTTAAAGAATGTTAAAACTTTTGTTAATAGTTCAGTGCTAGTAGGCTTAAAGGTAATAAGTTTTATTGCTTTTTATTAGTTGAGTTTGTCAATGTAATGGGTTTGTGCTATGATATTTTAGTATAAATTAAAGTATAAATAAAAATAGTAGCTTCAATGTTTGGAGTTGGTTAAAACATTGTTGATTTTGTAGGCAGATTTTTCTATTTCTGTTACAAGCTCATCAAGAAGAGAAGTAGAGATTTGTTTGTTAAAGAATGCTTCATGTTTGTTATTTTAGTAGAATATGAATAAATCAATTTTAGGTTATTTTTAAACTTTATTTTCTTGTTTTGGAAAGTTTGTATATGATTTTTAAAGATATTATTTAGTAATAATAAAAAGTTGTGTTGAAGTTGAGGTTGAAAAGTTGTAATAGATGAATTTGTATTTTCTAGTTCTTTTCCTTTGTTTTTGGGTTCTGTTTTTTCTAAATAGAAACAAGTTTCTTCTTTATAAGTAAAAATATAAAAGTTGGCTAATTTTATAGTTTTACTTTGATGTTCTAGTAAATTGTGAGGTTGTTGAAATTGTATTTTAGTAGGTAGAGTTTCTTTAAAATGAAAAATAAATTTCTGTTAGATTTGGTATTTTAAGAAATAAATAGTTTAGTTTCATCTAGTATTTGGATAAATTATCAATTGTATATTGGAAAAAATTGTTTGAACTATTGTTTTAAATGGTCTAAAAAATTTGTAAGAGATGAAATATCAAGTTTTTGGTAAAAGAGTGTTTTTGAAATATTAAAATCAAGATAAATATTGAATTTGTTATCAGATCTAATTATGACATAATGTTTTTTTTTGTCAAAGTTAGATACTTTTGATATAATATTAAATCTTTTAGGTTAGAGTTGAAAGTCTTTAGCAAATTTGATGTAATTAATTACTTGATAGTTGTTTAAGAGATATAAATGAATTCAAGCTAAATTAATTCAGAGTTGAAGTTGGTTTTGGTTAGTATATGAAAGGATAGTAGCTAAAAAGACAAAAATTTTAGAGTAGTTGAGTTTTATAAAAATAATTGTTGTAAATGTTAGGATAAGTTTTTTAAGAGTTTTTTCAAGTATATTGAAAGAAAAAGTAATTGCTTTGTCAGTATTGGGATTAGTTTTTTAAATAAATTCAGTAAAAAATTTATATCTGTCTTTAGCCATTTTGCAAATAATGTGATAAAAACTAGCTTTAAAGGCTTTTTGCTTAGAAGTTTTAGATTTGATTTCTTTGTCAAGATAGAAGTCATATAGATAGAATTTGAAAAAATTGAAAATTTTTCTTGAGAATTCTGTTTAAAATTATGATTTGTCCTTCATATCATTAAAAATTGTAAAATTAGTAAGCCAGTCAAATGTTGAGTTGGCTTTAATTTTTGGTTAATTGGTAGTAGTATTAGTTTGTGTTGGCTGTTCTTGTTAGTTATTTGTTTGTTACTGTTGTTGTTTCTAAGAGTAAGGTGGGTTTTGTATAGTAGTTGTTGTTGTTGTTAATATTGTTATTAGTTAACCCTTTATAATATTTTTTGTCGGTATAACTATGATCATTTCCATTTGTATATGTATTTGTACACGTATATATAGGCTCTTTTCAGCGGTACTGTATTGTATAAATAAATTTGGAGGGTGTACTATAACACTTTCCTGATATGGTAATGTAGAAGGTTTCTAAATTTAGTTTAGCTAATATAAAGTAGTGAGTACTTAATATGTAAACGATAAAATTTCCGAATCAGACCACTCTAAATGCATAGCGAAGGGTCAATAAAAAAACCTTGCATTTAGAGAGGTAAAAATCTATAAGTATCATATGAGTTAGGACCAAACCAAGCCATGCATTTAGATAGGTTCAACTGTATATATAATTATTAATGCATTTTAAGAAAAGGAATAACAACGATTAAATTTTTAAATCCAAAACAAAGAATCATGACGATTATAAATTGAAAACAAGGGATTTTAATACTAGATTTGTATATATGCTATATAGACGAATTATATATTATAGTAGCTTTTAATTTAAGAAGAATTTTATATAAAAATCTGAAAAATAAAAAAATAATTACAAATAGGAAAATAATTACATATAGGAGTGAATTTATCATAACTAATTAGATTGTAAGTTTTCTTTTAACAGTTAACTATATTACTTTTTAATTAGTATTGCATTTATTCTTTTAGCAAAAATTATAACTATCTTTGCCGATTTTCAAAGTAATTTAACTTTCTCCATGAGCATAAACATATTTTTGTGATTCTAAATATTTTGATTAACGTGTAATAACTTTCACAAAATATAACTTATGTTATCGTTATAGCACAGAGTTATTCTGGTTCTTTAATTATAAATTTTTTCAAAATTTAGACCTTTACATATAATTATTTATTTCAGGTCCTTATTTGTAGTTATTTTTATTGATATGTAAATTCCCCTTATTTTAATATATCGATATATTTTAACAAAGAATCAAAGATTATTACCTGTAAGATCGTGCATATAGATATCGTTAGGATAAAAATTTTTGCATATTAATTAAATAATTAGAAGTGTTATAATAAATAGAACCAAATTCAAATAAAGTTGTTAAATTTAAAAACTTAATTATTTATATAAACCCAACTTCAACTCTATTATGAAACCTAATTTGAACACTTTGTTAAAACCTATTTAAATTCTTTACTTCATTATTTATCACATATAAATAGTAATATGAATTCATTTCAATTTCAATCGTTTAATGAAGCATTAGATTTAATTGAATCAGATATTAATATAGAAACTAATCTATATTATGATGATGAACTTGATCCATGCTATGATGATGAATTAATTGCTTCTATTATTCGGTATCGTTTAGACCGTCCATCTCTATCTATAAACATTCATCCAAAGTCAGATCACTGGTATTCGACCATTTTATTTAATTATGATAATGTTAGATTTCGTAGAACTTTACGAATGAATAAATCATCATTTTGGATGATTGTTGATAAAATAAAAGATCATAAAAATTTTAAAAATATTCCAAATAATAAACAAAATTCTGTAGAAAAACAACTTGCTGTAACTTTATATAGATTAGGTTGTAAAGCGACAATATGGGACATTTGTTCTAAATTTGGAATAGCTGAAGGTACTGTTCCATTATTTACATCTAGAGTCATTGAAGCTATTAAATTTTTAAAAAAAGATGTAATAATCTGGCCACGTGGAGATTATCGACAAAAAGTTTATGAAGGTTTTAAAAATTTACATGGTTTTCCAAATGTAATTGGTGCATTAGATGGATCTCATATGAATTTATTTGAAGCACCAAGCAAACGTAATAAAGATGTTTATTTTACAAGAAAGCGACGGTATGCTATTCATCTTCAAGCTGTTGTGGATCATCAAGGACTTTTTATAAATTATGATGTAGGATATCCTGCATCTGTTCATGATGCGAAGGTATTTTGGAACTCTAGTTTATACTGTTATAGAAATCAATTGTTTGAAGATAATGATTATATATTGGCAGATTCTGCCTACCCAATTTCTTTAAATATTATTCCTTCATTTAAAAACCCTTCAGATTCGAGACAAACTTCTTTTAACAAAAAGCATAGTAAGACTCGTGTTGTGGTTGAGCAGGCTTTTGGCCGTTTAAAAAAAAGATTTCAATTATTAACAGAATTACGAACAAAAAATACTAAAATAGCTACTGAATTAATAGAGACATCTTTGATTTTACATAATTTATTAGAAAGAGATGGTGACGAATGGGAAGAATCTTCAGAAAGAGTTGTAATGTATCGGATACAGTATGATAATAATAATAATTCACGAAGGTACCAAGCAATTAAAGAAGCGGGAAAAATAAAAAGACAAAATTTAATGGATTATATATTAAGTTAGTTTAGTATATTTTTTTTTAGATTATAAAGTTAGGTATCGATATATTTATATTTATTATTTCAAAATAAAATATTTAATAAATGGCAGTACATATTATTATATTATCAATTACATATTTATTATGGTATTAAATTTAAAAATAACTTAATCGTTATTAAATTTATCAATTATACTATATATATCAACTTTAAAATAAACTCAAGTTACTTTCAAATTTTATATCAACTTAAACTACATATATAATATGTTAAGTTTATTAAATACTATTTTTCTTGATATTTTAATTCAAGTTCTCTAACTTTTAATTTATAACTAAATTCCTTTTCCATTCGTTCCATTTCCAGTTTAAATTTCCATTCTTGCTCTTTTTCGAATTTTTCTTTTTCCCATCTTAATTTTTCATGTTCTATTTCTAAACGTCCTTGTGCTATGCTTAAAGATTCTTTTTTTGCTTTTTTTAATGAGTTTAACTCATCTAAATAAATTTGATCAATTTCAGAAACTTTTCGTTTTTTCTTTTTTGAAACGGTAGTAATACAATTTTCATCACTTTCAATGTTCTATATTTTTTAAAAAAAATTTATAATTAAAAAAAAAACTTTTACTAAGATACATCTACGGCGTTTTATATCTATGCTTATGTTATCTCAAAAACTAGATGATTAATTAGTGTGGGATATTCTATATAAAAATGTTTTATGTTCCAAAAACCCTTCTCAAACCTAATCCTAACCTTAAATATTAAAAAACATAATAGATGCAAAACCACCGTAAATGCATTTTATAATAGAAAAAAATTGAATTTAATCTAGTATATTTATTATTACTCCTTTATTTCAGTATATTTTCTAGTTTTAGAACTTGTTATTAAAGATGCAGATATATTATTATAATCAGGTACAACTTATTTTAAACCAGATTTTTTTAACTGTAGTAATCAAGTTGCGACCTAATTACATAAATATATCTGCATCTCTTCTTGTTATATCATGATCGCATAGTATATATTTAATCTTACCTTATTATCATCAATACTAGAAATCAAATAATCGGGTTTCACATTTTCTCTATTACCGAATAATTCATTCATTTCATCTAAATATGGCCATTTAGATCTGGCTTTTCCTGTTTCTTCTTTATTTTCTTTTTCATATCTTGTTCTAAGATACTGAATTTTTGAATCAACTTGCATACTAGTTCTATTATTACCGATATTAATTGCAACTGCAGCATAAAATTTTGTTTTGTTTTTACGATATAAACCAAAATTATCACTAAGAAAAGAAAGCAAAGCTTTGGTTTCAGAATCGGTCCAAAATTTACTACTGGAGATAGATTCATTAGAATCTAATTTACTTTTTGTGTTATCAATTTCATTCGAGATTTTATTTTGAAATGATGATGGTGTACAATTGACAAATCCTGGAATATTAACTTGATCCATTGCGAAGAATATTTCGAAGGTTTTTGTTTGACTAATATATAGTTTACCTTTAAATACATTGATATCTAAATCAAGAATTCTATAAACTTTGATAGTTACGAATCTAAGCTATTTGCATTTAATAACCTATCGCTATTATTAAACTTAACAAATTTTTAATAATTACATGTATATATATGTTGATATGTATCAAAAAGATTATTCGGAAATTTTATCGTTTATTAAGTACTTACTACTTTATCTAGTATCGATATTGTATGGGCTAACTTAAATTAGGAACCTTCTATATTACTATATCAGGAAAGTGTTATAGTACACCCTCCAAATTTATTTATACAATACAATACCGCTGAAAAGAGCCATAATTGTATTGGCCTTTTTCCTTGCCCGTGACCCGCCACATTTCCTTTTTGACTAAAATAGATTAGATTTTCGTCCAAAAATTTTATATTATCATATCAGTACTATCTTGAGAAGTACTGCGTTGCGCACTCAGATCTATCTGTGCTTGCCCCCAAAAATTTTTGTCGTATTCGGGTTATATTTATCTTTTTTTTTTTGTGTAAAACAAGGTTGTGTCATATGAAATTTTTCTCAAAATAATTCGTTTAGGCTTGGAAGTTGATTTGTGTATATTATATAATTTCCTAAGCCTCGAATGCATATCGATGTGATGATTATAAAATAAGTAAATTAAATCATAAGTAGGGTTACATGTATTATTACCAGGAATGGAGTGGTTATA